ACCTCCTTATAAATAACAATGTCTCCTGAGGAGTCATCAGANCCAAGCCTTCCAAGATGGAGTCAATAATGCCCTCGGTGCCCCAACCTGCCTGATCTCCATAGAGAACACAAATTTTCCAAGTCGTTTCCTAATGATCCGCATGTCATCTAGCATGGACACCATTTGAGAGCCTATCCCTACAGAAGTCCCTATCGGAGAATTAGATGTATAGGGAGTAGGAGGCGCAGTCGCCTAGGGAGCCTTTGGAGAGGTAGTCACCTCTGGATCAATAACTAGAGGAACTTCTAGAGGAAGCATTGAAGAAGCTATCTAGGGAGGTGCCACTGGAAGGGTCATCTAAGAAAGGTCCACTAGAACATCATCCACCCTGACCATCTTGAGTGGAAGAGTACTCCTAGTGAAATAATAGGACTCCACCACTGTCTTATCCACTACTGAAGTGTAAAGTATTACTCTAATAAAAAAATGAGAGAAAAATTTGAAGGAAGCCAACATACAGTTTCTCTTCGCTGAGGAGCTACTTGCCTTGGAAGAAGACAAAGCGCCCCTAGCATCTCCAGAAGGAAGGTCCCTAGCCTAACTTTCCCTAGGAATGAGGATCTCGTAGTCCCTTACGGGACAGGCCCTCATAGCTTGGAACTTCCACTCCTGATCCGTTGAGAGCACTGGGGAGCTTGGAAAAAAGGTAGTTAATACCCAAAAAAAAAAAGATGGGAAAGAGGTTGTAACTATCCTCTTTGGAAGGCCCCACCTCATTGGTACCAAAGCTATGTCCACCTCTGAAGTTCACTCTCCTCCTACAAATAGGAAGTGATCCTTCCAACTATGGCAGTTGGATTGCAACTCAACAATTAATTTTTCTCCCCTCAGAGTGAAGTAATACCAATCGCGGTTAGGAACAGGCGTTTCACTCAAAATATAAGCAGCAGAAAAATCTTCAAGGGAGGCATCCTTATAATGCACCCTTTTCCATAGTGCACAAAATCCCAGTAGAACTCTCCAACCATTGAGCTACAAACGCCCCAGTGTGAGTAAAAATTAATGAAGGATCCAACAAACGGGAGAAGGTACAGGAAACCTTAACCCCGCTTCAAGTACCTCCTTATAAATAACAATGTCTCCTGAGGAGTCATCAGAGGCTGGCTTGCCCATCTCAGCCTAACGGCACAACACCACAGGAGGAATGCAAAAAGTGGATATAATCATAGCAATTTCAACATCAGTGTTAAGGGAGCTAGAGATAGAGCTCACCTTAGAGCCATCATCAATAGACACTTTACCACGATTCTTGCATCATCGTGGATGAGGAAGAGCACTACCACCATCATCTCTCACCACATGTCCAGTCCCTTATCTCTGTGCATAGCTCATTCTTGACAGCTAGCCCGAATACCTTTGTCGCAGCACCTGAACCTATCCATGTGCCAACGCCAACCATGGCGCCCCGAGCGCTCACGACTACCTCCCGGCCAGCTCCTAAACCCTAGCTAGCGCCCACAACTCTTGCATCTGCGCCCGCACTAGCTACACTCGTTACCGCGATGCCCATACTTGCCTTGTATGTGTCTGTTTCACTCATACCACTTTTGCCTTCCATCACTCTTCAGTCTAACCCTCTCAAGGAATGGAACAAAAGAAAAGGAGGATGGACCTATTTATAGCCCAACCTTGGGAGTTACCTGGTAGGATTGGCATTCAAGTATCCTAATTGAAGTAGGATTGACATTGAGAAGCTCTCATTCACTTTGGCAATTACCTAATTGGATTGACATTCAAGTATCCTAATTGGAGTAGGATTGACATTGAGGAGCTCTTATTCATTTTGACAGTTACCTAATTAGATTGACATTCAAGTATCCTAATTGAAATATGAGTGACACTGAGGAGCTCTCTTTCACTTTGGCAGTTAACTAATTGGATTGGCTATCCTAGTTAGAGTAGGATTGACCTTGAGAAGTTCCCACGAGGATAATCCATATCAAAAAGGAAAAAATAAGCATATATATATATCCTCGTTAAGGAAAAGAGTTCAGTCGCAGTTGGACTAGCTAATACTCTCTCCTTCAAATCATTGGGCTCAGGGCATGGGGCAAATGATGGGCCCGACCAAAGGCCCAACTCAGATATCAGGCCCCATTGGGTCCGGCTTAGAAGAGACCCAAATCTAGTCAGGCTCACCAAAGCCCCAGAGCCACGCCATCCTCAAGTCAAAGAGTCAACAATGCCATCAAAGAGCCTCATCCACGCCATTTTAGAGTGAGGAGGTCTGCCACACCATCCTGGGTCCTGGTCTTAAGGAGATCTCCACGCCCTCTCAGCAACTGTCTCACTTATTACGAGGATGGCACCCACTCCACCAAATCAGTCTTTCTGTTACTAATAAGGTGTATCAATCTGTTAGGAGGCGCCTATAAATTGTAAGCTCCGCTCACACATGGGAGCATCTCTTACATCTTGTATCTCACATATCACTCACACTTGAGCACCCAATACTCCTTCAAACAATAAAACAGTCAAATCATCATAGGCCTTCGTAATGGAATATGTCATTTTGACCAAACCACTTAAATTGTATTTTGCTTGTGTTGTCTCTCCTAATTTATTTATTGCATTTATTATTTGACAGGTGGTACATAAAATCAATTTGTACATTATCAAAAGTAATCCAATTCAACTAAAAAGGGAAAATCTCTCCCCAACTTTGAAGTAGATATAAATAGAGATGGATTTTATGAAAGAATGGAAGTCAAATTGTTTTTTACTCCCAAAAAAGTTGAAGATGAGAAAGATGAAATGAGAATCGCATATTTTTTTTTTCGACAAGTAAGATAAATATGAAAATCAAATATTAACGGAAGTTTATACGCCCATTGGAAAGTGAACAATGAGCTTAGCCCTTCTATTAGATTTCCACATTTGAAAAATAATTGTTACTGATGATGATAGAAGTAATACGGTGAACACCATAAAATATATTTGAAGAATATTTAAATTTTTTTATCTCTATGCATATAAAAAAAATTCAAAAATTATTTGAGGGTGGGCTCGCCTCTTACTAGCTCTGCCCATGGCAAGCGGTTAATAATCGCTAATGACTTTAGGTGACTTTAAAAAGAATTTTGCCAATTGGTAATAAATGTGGTAACCAAATTAGTTACTTTCATAAGTGCTCAGGTGATTAAGGATTGAAGGTCATCTTGAATAGAGTCTTGCTAAAATAAAAATATATTTTAGCTTTATTGTTATATTTTTGTTCGAAAATTATAGCCATCCAAAATTGAATCTTGCAATACAAAAAAAAAAAAACAAAAAAGGAAGTATTTGCAAAACTAAAAGAAATAAGGGGTGGGGTTATTCCTACCCCACAAATTTTCATTCCCACCCTATTTAATTTTTCATTATCAAACTACTAAGTACACCCCTTCTATACATATCCCATTGCTAACTTAGTCAACCTCATACTAAATACATCTCATTTAATAAGTAAACTCACATTTATATTTTGTCATTAGGGTTTCATTCTTTATAATGTCTAATGCACTTACAAAATTCTTTTTCAATATGAATTTTTTCAGTGAGATACATGTTAATATTAGTTCTTAATTTAATTATATGTTTGATTTCATATTTGTTATATAACTTTTTATTATTTTCAGTATGTTTGATATCTCTGCCAAGTTTAATAATTTTATATTTAGAATTTATATATGTGTATATATGTATACATTCAGATTATTTGTTTTTTTTTATCTTATAAAGGTTTTACATCTATACTTGTTATTTTTTTTTCGCATTCGATTTTGTGTTTATGCTTGATATTTTTTTTCATATTTGGTTTTGCGTCTTGTAATTTTGTTTGTTTCTTTAATCTTTGTTTGAGTTTTTTTTTCCTTCTTGTTTTGGTTTGCTTCTTTCTTTATATTTTTTTCTTATTTCGTTCTTTTATTTTTTCTTGTATCCGTTTGCTTCTTTCTTTTTCTTTTTTTTTTTATTTATTCTTGCTTTGGCATACATGTTTTCTTTTACCTGTTTTGTTTTTGTCTTTTTTTTCTTTTTTCATAAAATATATTTATGTATTCAAACTAATTATTTTCTTTAATTATTTTTTTTTCTTACGATGATTTCTTTTATTAAAAGGGTGTATATAGAATGAATGAACTTAACTATTAATGGGGTATATGTAGCATAGAGTAGGCTTAATTATTAATGGGGTGAGTATAAAAAGGATGAACTTAGTAGTTTAATAATGAAAAATTAAATGGGGTGAGAATAACCCCACCCAAAAAATAAAACTGAATTTGATTTGGATGTGAAATAACTAGAGGGGTGTCAAAATATAATACGACCTATTAATACGATACGGAATTAGAAAATTTGAGTCTTTTTTAAACCATATGTTTTCACTCTGTCTCAGAGTGTTCATATGATGATGATGACGATGATGGGACCCGAATATATGAGAGGCTGGGATGATATATTTTCTGAGCAAATGAATCGGGCACTGTATTAATCTGATTCATAGTTTGGCGAGGCAAACTGGGATGATATGTAAGAGATTTTCTCACATGCAACTGGATTTGCAGCCATGGTGTGTGTCACTCATTCTCTTACCTGATCAAATACAGATCTGAGCCTTGTTATTTTACTCTTTATTTTCTTGGTCCAATAATTTTTTAAAGGTTTTTTTTATATATATTTTTGCATATTTAGTAGGAATTTATGTGTTAAATATAATCATATTTGGTTGGGTTCTGAAATTTTCACATTTGATTAATATTTTTGAATTATATTATTGAAAGTCAGTTAAAGTTAGTTGAAGTAGTTAGTTAAAGTAAAGAACGTGATTAGAGTAAATTTTAAAAAATGAATAACTAAAGTAGAGAATATAATATTTAAATATATTTTCAATAACTATTTTATTGAGCTTTGACGAAGTTACTCTTAATGGGCTAAAAAAATCCAAACTAAAATATGTAACTACAGAGCCCATCAAGTGGATGGGCCGGGTCGCTCCTACCACAGTACCACTCTTTGAATCTCAAGTCTCAACTGTTCATCGCAAAAATCCTAATCCCTGCCACCCAAATCGGGTTAGGGCACAGCTTGATGCTTTTATGGCTGATTTGAAGTTGCAGAGCGAAAATTTCTGACGTCTGAAAATCTTTGAAGCTTTCCATTTTTGAGAGGCAACTAATTTTCAATTTGCCAAGAAGATGACTCTGAGTATCTGCAGAAGTCTTACCTCAGTCGCTCTCAAAACCCCTATTTCTTTCTCTTTCTCTCTCCTCGTCCTCTCCTACTCTACACGAAAACAACCCAAATGCACCGCTTCAGTCGCTGATTACTTGGTGTATAAACACCAATTCGCTCCTGAAACTGCCTCAAAAGTCTCCTCTGTGTTAACTTGTGTAAAAAACCCAGAAAAGTCTGATTCTATACTGTTCTTTCTCAAAGCGAGTGGGTTTTCGAAGACCCATCTCGAAAATGTTGTAGTAAAATGGCCCAATGTTCTCTCTGCTAATCTTGATCGTACCATCAAGCCCAAAATCCAGATTTTCCAAGACTTGGGCTTTTCTCCGACGGAAACTGCCGAGTTAATTTCGATGCATCCTTGGATTTTGACGCGTAGCGCGGTCAATCAGCTTGGGCCGTCCCTTTTGGTATTGAGAAATGTATTTGATTCAAGTTTAGATGTGTCTAAGGTCTTAAAGATTTCTGTGTGGTTTTTGAATCATGATTTGGAGAAGAGTATGATACCCAGTATTGCATTGATGAAGAGTCTTGGAATTAATTCTTCTCAGCTAATGAGATATGTGTACAGCTTTCCGAGGTTTTTCTTGTATAAACCGGAAAGAATTAAGGAATTCGTTAAGAGGGTTGATGAAATGGGTTTTAATAGGAACTCCAAGATGTTTCTCCATGCGATTCGAACTGTGAGCTCAATGACAATTAAGAATTGGGAACTTAAATTGGAGCTTTTTCGGAGTTTAGGGTTCTCAGATGTTGATATACTATCCGTGTTTCAGAGGAAACCTCAGATTTTTGCCGTATCTCAAAGGAAAATTAAGGATGTAACTAAGCTTCTGCTTGCCACTGGGAAATTTGATATCTCATTTATTGTTAACCACCCAGAATTGCTTTGTTGCAGTATTGAAAACAGGTTAAAACCACGGCTACGAGTTGTGGAAGTTTTGGAAAATAAGAAATTGCTTCCAAAAAAGCTGAGTTTGACATCGCTACACAAGATCACTGATGAGAAGTTCTTTGAAAAGTTTGTGCTCCCTTATTCAAATGAAGTTGGTGAAATATACATAGCTAGAGAGTTCTCATAGATAATGGAAATGTGTGCGCTTGGTCAATAATCCCCCATTATATCCACTTTGACAGTTGACACTCTTATTTAGGTTCCAGTGGCTTTTCATGAATTAACTCTTGTAAGTGCGTGTGTAGACAGACTTTTTCTGCAGGTAATATGATTTTTTTTCCATTCGATCTATGTAATGTACTTCTCTGAGAAAATGCGGTTAGTTATCCAGATTGATACTGCATACGTGCTCTTCAGATGAATTGAAATAACACCATTTTCACTGAGACATTTCTGATGTATTAATTTGCTGCTCCAGTTTTAATTCTTGTGCACCCATTACCCACAGCCAATTTCGAATAAACCCCCCCGCTCCCCAAAAAAAAAAAAAAATCTCTGTCGAGGCCTCTATTTCAAATACATATATTCTCTTGGGGTGGTGGGGGCTTTAGTCTTAAGTTGAACATTGTGATTTAAGTTATGAGACCTAGTTTCAGGTTTGAGATTCCCAAATTGAACCTTTTCAAATTGAATGGCCATTTAATTTCATGTTAGGGATCCTATAGGTTTGAAGTATTGAATTGAAACAGTTTATAACTTGCCCCCGCCTACCTTGTTGGTTTTGGTATTGGAAGACAACAAGGCTATCTTACATCAAACTAATGCTCATTGCTTCTGTCACTCCTGCATTCTGGTTCGTCATTTCAAAATCTGGTTTTTTTGAGCTGCTCCCATCTTGCAAGATCTTGCAACTGTACTTTCAAAATGCTTCCAGATAGGATGATGGGTACCTTGCCTTCCTTTCCTGGTGTTTATTAAATTATCTCCCAGTTATCAACTGGCAAGGTGGGGCGTGAATATCTTGGCACAGTACCAGTTGTTGATTTCTGTAAACTGTCTTGCCCTATCTGAAGGATGCTCAGGGCTGGAACTCCTTATCCCAAGCACGGGCCAACTCTGTATGTTTCTATCAAGAGAAGTAAGGTGTTGGTTCAATGTTGCTAGTTTATTTTTGGAGTCAGACATGAATGTTGAAGCTTATAGAAGGTAAGGAATCAAAGAAATCTCAATCAGTGGTCTTGGTCTCCCATTAATATGTGGCATTGACTGTGTTACCTTTCTTGAGGTGGATGGTACCCAATGCTCTCTCATGTCCAGGATTTGCCCATTGTCTGCTAAGCAATCTGGACATCTGGTGCCTGCTTTAAATGCGTGCATTACTTCCTTTGGCAAGAACGACCCAAAAGAGCATTAACGTCTTGGATCGGGTTTATGCTTAATCAGATTCTATATCTTCCATTTCAAAGAGCAGTAAGTTCAGTCTATTTAACACATTCATATGTTGCTGTGTCTTTGCCATGTCTATATCCTACCATTTTAGATTTTCCATAGGGGTTCATGCATGTTGTGTGTGCTGGTTTCTTGAAAACTAATCCTATTGCCTTTATTTAGTAAATCTAGTTGGCAGTTGACCAGTTAAACAATCTATTAATAGCCCTTTGATTAGAAAATCCCTCCTCCACCATCTTCTCTCTGTGTTCAACCTCCCATTGTTATGCAACCACTTCTTCCCACGCAAGCCACCACATCTGTCCCCCAATGCCCTTACCACAATCCCTCTCCTTCACTCTTTCATGGAGGAGCGGGAACCACCTCCCGGCGATGGAAACCATAACCCCTTAAACGAAAACCAACCATTTCACCTACAGAGAATGCAAACCCTAACCATTTAACCAAAACATCACCGCCTGTCTTTGGTTCTGCAACATTTGTCGTCCAGATTCCCAAAGATCAAATTTATCGCGTCCCACTACCTGAAACATGCGGTGCTGCCCAACGCCGAAATCTGCCTATCCAAAAGAGGCGGCGTTGTAACTGTTTGTGTTTAGCCATCTTTGCAGTTGTCATTGTCCTAGTTGTCCTGATAGGAGGCATAACAGCTTTTTTTCTTAAGCATGCCAATCCTTCATTTAGCATTGAAAATTTCCTTGTCAGGAATCCACCGGATCATCATCATTGGCAACATCTGGAGTATAACATCATGTTGAAAGCGGAGAATCCGAATCAGCACACAAACATTTTCTATGAGCAGGATGGTGATGCATCCCTCTCCTTTAAGCAAAAAGAAATTGAAGTAGGAAAATACCCACCTTTCAATCAAAGCCCCAAGAATTCTAATACATTTAAGATAGTTCTACATGGTTCGAACACTGCATTGCCTAAAGAGATTGGCAAGGGCTTGAATAGCACAAATTCAAAAGCACGCATCTCTCTATCTCTATGGATGAATGCCTCGGTGAAACTGGAAACTGGGGCGTTGAAGACTGGAAGTAAGAAAATTTATGTTGATTGCAGTTTGACAGTAGATGCTCTGTCAAAAAGTGCGTGTGTACTTTCTCAGGAATGTCATACCAAGGGCCAACTCTGAGCAAGATATCAACAGACTCAGCAACATAGTGATGGCCGTGGCGGTAAATTTTGCAAGTTTAAAACCAGTTTTTTTTTCAGAATTTCTCTTCTTTTCTTTCATGGACTAGTTAACTGAGGAAAGATTGAAGAATATATATATATATATTTCCAGTCTTTAATGTTAATGGCATGCAGGTGGATCGAAATGTGGGCATGGGCATATTACTTTTTTATGCTTTTGTTCTTGAATTCTGACCCAGCTGTTGTAAATTGTTTTGTTTTTTTCCAAAAAAGACAAAGGAGAATAACATAGTTTGCTATATATTATGTATCTGAAAACTGCTTACTCTCCATCAAAATGATGGGTTTGTAATTGTCTGACTTGCAATTTAGTCCAGGTAAATGTTAAATTCTGGAAAACTTAATTGAATTTGTCTTGCCTACCCATTTCGACCCTCATCTTTCAAATTATGGTCACAGATCTCAGTTCAATGACACCATGCTTGATGTTGTCCTTAACATTGTGAATTTACTGCTTATAGAACTCTCTGATGCAATCGCCTGTTGGTCCTGGGCATCATGTATTCCAGAGATTCTGAATGGTGCCAATGAAGAAGAACCAAATCGGAGCAACAACCCCATTATTCCAGCAGTTCATGTTTGGTATTGGTCCCTCAGATTAGATCATCCATGGCAGTTGAACTAGTGCCTTCCCTAGTTCACAGATGAACAAGTCCAGAGGTTCTTCTCATACCATAGTGTAAGTAATGGTTGCAGAGTGTTTTGTATTTTGTATTGGACATGGGACTAAGAGTTTTACATTATTGTCTTAGTATTTTTGAGAGGAAAATTTCTAGATTAGTTCAAGATACTCTCTCTATTATATAACTAAAATGCCTGATTGGGCAGATTCGGATTCAGATTTGGATTAGAATTTTATCTATTTTGGCAAGTGTAACTTAAGTGAAATTTTTTTGAATGGTCAATGTCTCTTATAACTATTGTTTGCTTACACACCTTAAAATATGTTGGAACCTATCTTTGCTCATGTGTGTATTTGGGGAAACTCTATGGTACCCAAAAAAAAAAAAAATTGGTACCGTTGCCGTTGGCTACTATTTTGTATGGTGAAGTTATAACTTTGAAAAGAGAAGTTATAACTGTTCAGAGGAGGTCATGATCGATTACAAATACCAATAATCGATCATAAAAAATACAGTATTGATTCTAATATTTCTTAATCGATCATACTCTTTGAAGTTGTAACTTATACCTAAAAAAAGTTGTAATTTAATTTTAAAAGATTATAATTTTCGTTATCGGTATTGCTTGCGGTACCATAGAATTTCTTGTATATTTGGCATGATTTGCTATCCCCAAATCGTCTCAATTCTAAGGGAGTGGAAAGGGTGATAATGATGGAATAATATACTTAGGCTTGAAAGAATTGATCAAGTCGGATCTAATTTGATTTAATTAGGCCCTGACTTGATACATTTGATCCAATATCATTTTATTTTTTGTGTAAATTATGAGTTTCACTTGACCTATGATTGAATCGGAGTTAAAAAAAAAAAAAAATTGAATCGGAGTCATCTATCCACCAAATTATTTGAGCATCATCATCAACTAGGAGTCATCTAGTAGCTGAATTTTTTTAGCATCGTTATCGACTCGTATATTTGTTAATACCATTTTGTGATGCCACAATATAAAATAGATTTCTTGTTAATTTTTATATATCATTTCTTGTGTTGATCTCCACCATATTAATTTATCCCCCTGAATTAAAAAGGAGTCTCAACCACCTTCAACCACTCTTGAACACCGACTTTCCACTTGATCTTGTCACAATAATATTCAGTGGCTGGTGTGGGTAAGGGTATTCAAATTTTTGATTAATCGTAATTTTTTACTTTATCAATCCCTATTGAACAGTTAGCTGAAAAAATTGGATAGGAATGAGGAAGAGTTTTTGATCTTCAGATTAAATCGGGTAAAAATGTGGAATAGTCATTAATTTTCGTATTCCTACCCTACCCTACCTACGCGCATATATGTATACACACACACACACACACACACATACTAAAAATTCTAATTTCGTAACCATATGATTTAAACTTAAAATAATTGTTATTGTATTTGTGCAACAATTATAATGGATTGATGCTTATATTTTCTTATGTTTTATTATAATTGTTGATGTAATTGTGTTAAATTTTAGTGTTATTAAATTATTGTGTTATTAAATTTGTGCATGTTATTTAATTGAATTGTTAAAATGAACCAAAAATTAATAACTATAAAAGTGTTCACCCAATTTTCTACTTGACTTTCTACCCGATTAATTTAACCGGAAGTCAGGTAGGAATACCACACTTGATCGGATAGGATAGGCCAAGAAAATAAATTTCGCAAAATATTGGGTAGAATGACGAAAGACTATATTTCCTACCCGTAGGGTAGGGTGAACACCCCTAAATGTGGGGGTGTTGAGCTAATCAATACAATATATATATATATATTAGTCATAACCCAATATTATGACCCAATATATACCATGAGATCGATATATATATATATATATATATATTAGTCATAACCCCGTGCCTGAAGGCACGATAAAATATAAAATTCGAACGTCTAAAAAATCGATCTCATTATATTAATTTTTTTTAAAAATATATTAACTACAAATAAATTAAATATTAAATAATTAAATATATGATAAAAATGAGTGATGTGATATTTTTAGGAAAGAAATATATAAATGATTAAACATATAATAGAAATAAATGATACGATTTGACGATTGAGTCTGACAAAGGGATGATGGGTGAGGTAAGTGATTGATGATAATTTTGAGGAGAAAAATATAACTAGGATAAAATTCAAACACACTCCTGTTTTATTATATAGATATATATAACTCAGATTAAAACATCAAAAATCTACATAATCAAACTAGTAATGCACATTGTGCATTACACATGAATATATTTAGGGTTCATAGCATTTTTTATCTTTAAAATATAAATTTTTTATCAATTTAATCTTCAATGTATCAATTTAGTCCATAAAATATTCAATTCATATTATTTTGGTCCCGACATAAATGGATCATTAAATTTTTGACAGACGATCACGTGTTGAGCACGTGAAACCGTCTAAAAAAATAACATATGATCATTTTCATCAAAAAATTTATCGGCCCATCTATGAAGGAACCAAAATAACACAACTTAAATACTTTAAGCACTAAATTGATAAAATTAATACATTAAGGATAAATTGATAAAAAATGAATATTTTATGGACCAAAAGTGTTATTAACCCATATATTTAAATAATATTTTTTACATTAATTTTTATTTTAATTATTGCTAAACCTAATTGTTGATATATTATATCCCTCTTTGACTATCTAATATGTTATTTGTTTAGGTATCTCTCTACCCTTTTAGATATGTCCTCTTTTGTTTATATCAATCTTTATTGTAACTATATTATAAAGTTATTACATTTTTTGTCAAAAAAATTGAATAAATTGTAATACTATTGTTTGTTTTGCAATAATATGATATTGTTCTATACCATAAAATTAACTATAACATATATTGGACCGTAGAATGATAGGATATAAATTGGACTTTATTTCTTCGTATACATATAGATATAGATCCTAATTGTATATAAATGTACTACTAATAAATGAATTTAAAAATATTTATAAAAGAGTCCAAAACAAATTAAAAAATAAATAAGTGTTAAAAAAAATAGACGAAAGTATATATATAGGTATAATTGAATTTATTATAATAATAAGGGATAAAATATAAAATCAAAAAAATTTCGTAGATTCTGACATTTATAAGTAATATAAATAGAAATTATTGTCTTTTTCCATTTTATCTCTCTTTAATAATTTCTAACTTATTTATGAAGTTGTTAACATGAAAACGTGAATCTGTAAACACACTTTTTACACCCAAAAAAACCCTAAAAAGCAGGTAAGGCAAGCATGTTTTTTACATTAAAAGGATAATTTTAGTTGTGTTTATATAGATAGTGATAAACCAATAAATAAAATTGAAACTGTAATAAAATTAATACAATTACAAAAACTATAATTCAGCAATTGGTTTAAGGAAAAATTTCAGCTACACCCCTTTTAGTTTATCATATCTGTAAGGACAATCCCTCGATTATCAAAAACATTATTAACAATCCTTCTAGTTTATATTTAAACATCATTGATACCCCTGTCATTAAACCATCATTTATAACAAAATTAAAGTACCTAAAATATCAAAATTTTCCCTACATAAATCTCAAACAATCTTTCTACAAAAAATTTGATAAAAATTGGAGCCGATTAAAATTTATTTTTTTATATATTAAAATTCGAGTCGATTAAAATTCTTTTTTTTACATATTAAAATTTGAGTTGATTAAAATTCGATTCGAGCTAATTAAATTTTATTTTTTTTATGTATTAAAATTAGAGCCTATTAAAAATAATTTTTTTCTGTATTAAAATTCGGGCTAATTTGAACTCTACTTAAGCTGTTAGCCTCGATTAAAATTTGTTTTGAGTCGATTAAAGTTTATATTTTTTTATTTATTAAAATTTAATTCGAGTTGATTAAATTTTATTTTTTATGTATTAAAATTTGAGTTAATTAAAATTTATATTTTTATATGTATCAAAATTTAGATTGATTAAAATTTAAAACAAGTTGATCAAAATTTGATTTGAGCCTCTAATAGAATTTTAATTGCCTTAAACTTTAATACGTAAAAAAATATAATTTTTAATCAACACAAATTTTAATGCATAAAAAATAAAAATTAATTAACTCGAATCGAATTTTAATCGACTTAAATTTTAATACATAAAATAATTAGAAAATAAAGAGAGTTTCATTGAAGATATGTCTATTTAAAAGAGTGTGAATGAAGTTTTTCCTAAAATATATCATAGACAATTTAGTAAAATTGTATTTTAATTAACAC